GTGGCAAAGAACTCGTAAGGGGTGTAGTCTTCGATGTTTTCCTCCGGTGGGTACTCAGAGAAAAAGGAAGCTTCCAGCCATTTCGACTTCTTCATGGATACCGACGTTGGTACCTTGGCGATCCAGATCACCAGAGCTGCAGCTAGTGCACCTTCTAGACCCAAGCTGCCGAGTTGTGTCGTCCCGAGTATTCCCACAAGGGCCGAATAGAACTTCGCGCTTTGCATTGGGTGATCACCAGCAATATCCAGCGTGATCTTCCGGTGTGCGGATTGCTCCATTGTTGATGATTGGCCAGTATCGACCAGTGTGAATGCTTCGTTGTAGCGCATTTGCGCCTTGCCAGAGCTCCAATATGCAGAAAGTGAACATGCTGTTACAGAGGCGGTCACAGCAGGATCTTTACTTTCGACCATTGACGACAGCAGACCAGGCTGGACCAGTGTGGACTGATTCCACATTTCACTCGTCCTGCCCTGGAAGAACACTACGAGCAACGGGTGATCTGCTGGCTCTGGTGATGAGATCCAGACCGGACTGAAGTAGACAGCAGTGGAGTGATTCTCACCCCCTCCATATGTGGAGGCGGAAAGTTCGACAGTATCCGATACTTTGGAGATCAAGGTGGGAAGATCCGGCATTAGTGATGTCCAAGGCCAGGGGTAATACCAATCGCTGCTGTTATTGATGTCGAAAAAGGATCCCCAGCACTGCGCCCCTACAACTGGGTGTGCAGCCTCCACGATTAGCGTCGTGTTTCCTATGCCCTTTAGGTCCGATTGATCAGCTATAACCTCCGTCGGGATCGTGACATTTGCCTCTCGAAGCACTGTACCCCCGGTTTTGTCGGGGTTGCGCACATCGTTGGACCACCGTAGGAGTCGTTTTAAGTTCGATAATCTCCGGGAAAAATGAAGAATGGTATTTGACCCATAAGAACTGCCACGTTCGTATCTGTCGGAGTACCATAAGGTTGAATTCAGCCCTTGAATATCACTGCTTGTAGTTCAGTACTCGATGTTATTTTGGGCCAAGGTACGTACGAGTCAAATTTTGAGATGGGAATTTTAGAAGGATACGAAGCTTCGTCAGATGCTACTCCCCAGAGTTGGCTGTGTGAAGGAGTGCGTGGAACGCCCGCACGTGGGATCATGAGAACAGCGCTTGAAGGTCCAACCAGCGCTGTCAAAGCGAACAAGAGGGGCATGGCGACCACGAAGATTGTCTTTCGCCATCCTTGGAGTGCACGAGATCGAAAGAGGGAGAAGAAATCCAGTGACCATAGATAAGACAATTGAGTCGGCTGCATAGCGCCTGATAAAGTGCCGAATGGAACAAGGCCGTTAATAAGACCTGCACGAATAATGCTAAGTAGAACCTCGACGATTGAAGCCTGCATAAGTAACTCGTGGAGCTTTGCTGCAAATTGCAATTCAGTTGAGTAATCGTTCTGTTCATTGACCCAATAATTCGTCCATTGGAATACCAGCAGTAGGATGGCGCCAGAAAGAGGAACAACGTGCAGTAACGCATGCACTGCGGCGACTGCCCTGTTGTAGTGAATGGCTACTTTGCGACGTTCGGTATTCCGGTTCCAACGAGAGCCCATACATCGAGAGAACGTCGAGGAAGCGGATTGAAACCGAAACTGTCGCATGAGATGGCGACGCTTTACCTGCGATGGGGCGGAGTTGTCTTCCAATTCGACTACATTCGCATTGTGACTGTTATCGCCAGAGGTGTCATCGCGCGAATCGACACTTGCATAGCCGCTTTTCAGTAAGCCCGTTGTATGGCTGGAGCTTCAGTATGAGCAACCTAGATCTAGATTCTGACCTGGGCGAGACGCACCTCATTTCTGCCAGTTCCTGTCCGGAGACAGCTTCGCTTCTCATCCTGCACGCCAAGCCCGCATAGCCCACAGTGGACGCGTCGTGGAGTATGCTGCTCGTTCAATACTCAGATAGTAAACCTATAACGATCGCAAAGACTTATTCAGGGTGCAAAAGACTGTATTGGAGATGTGTATGAAAGCCACCGTGGTGGAAGGAAGCAAGGTGAAGGCTGCCCAGGTGAGATCCGTTCGCTGAGCCCGACTGCCTTGTATGTAGCTTGGCTGTGGTAAGGCCCACCATAGGATTTCGCGAATCTGACATGTCTGTGCGTGGGTAACATCACCCAGGCGCTGCTGCGGACCAGCATCTAATTAATCTAATTAAGAATGGCATTGTGACTTTCAGATAGAAGTTGATGAATAAGAAGGGGAGCGGGAAGAGTAGTGCAGTCCACGGGTCTATTCGGGAACTACCCGGGTATATGTGATACTCATCACCCGAGCAATTGGGGCAGTGTCCGCGGCTTAGCATTGTTTCGGTCGCGTTATACATCTGTTAGCATTAAGATGACCGTCTATCGCCAGAGAGATGCCGAAATCAGAGATAAGGTTGCCGATGTAGAGATACGTCGGCTTCGAAGCTTGCCGAGATCCCTTCGGAAAGGTTCCGCTGCTGGCATTCAGGAGCCCCGCCTTTCGTGTTGCTGTATAAGATTAGTGAACCTCTGTATCCTCGTGCCCACTTATCTGATGGCTGCAGTCATTTCGTTGCTAATACTATAGTGATATGTACGGTCCTTTGTGTTTCTGCAATAAATACCTTCTTTGAAATACAACGTGATTAGATACCTTTTACTTTCCTACGCTCAACACACTATCCACGTCATGTCACATCAACCATCATCCACTGTTCGCGTTGCTGTCACTCAATTCGAGCCAGCATGGCTTGACTTGCCAAAGGCTGTCGAGAAGACCTGCCGTTTGATCCGCGAGGCAGCAGAGAACGGCGCAAAGCTTGTGTCGTTCCCCGAATGTTGGATTCCAGGCTACCCTGCCTGGATATGGTACGTTCGCGAATACAGTTGTCCTTCGTCGATTTCCAAGGTATGCTGATATGTGGTGCCAGGTCAAGGCCCATAGACTTTGAGCTCTCGACAACTTACATGAAGAATTCTCTGCAAGCAGACTCAGCTGAGATGCGTCGCATCTGCCAGAGTGCTGCAGACCACCACATCGCCGTCGTACTTGGGTTCAGCGAGAACTTCAAAGGCTCGCTTTACATCTCACAAGCTATCATCAATGCCGAGGGCAGTATTGAAGTCCTGCGTCGGAAGCTGAAAGCGACGCACATGGAGAGGACGATGTTTGGAGATGCATCGGGCTCTGCTCTCCAGAACGTTGTGGAGCTGCCGGACGTTGGACGCGTTGGTACCCTGGCTTGCTGGGAGCACACGCAACCACTACTCAAATACCACACTTACCATCAGAGAGAAACCATACATGTTGCTGCGTGGCCGCCGCTGTACGAACACGATGGCGGCCCAGGCTTGTATTCCATGAGCAAAGAAGGTGCGATATCACATTGTATACGACCAGAATAACCCTTAGCTAACGTAGTTGGTAACAGGTTGCCGCAGCCTCTCTCAAGTCTACGCCATGGAGTCGCAATCCTTTGTTCTACATACTACAGCGGTAATGAGTGATGCAGGTATCGCTACACTCCGAACAGCCTCTGGCGTCACCATGAATACCCCTGGTGGGGGTAGCTCAGCTATCTTTGGCCCGGATGGGCGCCTGGTGGCTGATGGTCTACCAGAGACAGAAGAGGGGTTCATTTACGCAGAATTGCAGCTTGATGATATCTTGAAGGCAAAAGGTTTCTTGGATGTTTGTGGCCATTACAGCCGACCTGATCTACTGTGGCTGGGTGTTGATAAGAAAGAGAAAACACATGTAGTTTAATGGACATAACGTACCTTAGGGCGGGTAACTAGCACCGGCGCGTGGCTGATCATCTAATCACCGACTCTTCAGACACCCTTAATTCCATCTCTCCCGTACAACCGCTCGTGGCAAAGATGGGTAGTCGCCTTCATCATTCCCGCTTGTCAGCCTCGCCCATTCTTCTTTTTGCCACCTCTTTCCCAAAATTTGAGCCACTTCATCATCTTTTTCTTTCCGTTGTTTGGGTGTGGTCTCTCATGATATCTTCCTCCGGGACGTCTATGGCATATATCGTCGAGCCCATATGCGTTGGATGGTGGTTGTCTCCGCGGCGGGGCGGTATTGTAAGGCTGTGGATCGGCCATAGCAAGGTGAGATGGTAGCGAATCACAGGTCTAGTGTCGATTGCAAACCTGCGCAAAGAAACAGGTCTTGGAGCATGGAGCTCTTATGAGGCCGTTACGAGGATTGGCTTCTATTGTTGAAGTAATTTTTTCAGTGTTCTCTGGGGACATATGACGAAAATCGAGGCAGGCTGAAAGCACGTGAAGACGAACTCTCAGCCTGCGGTAACGACTGCGCCACCGTCACTAGAGTGTGCTTCGAAAGGGCTGTCGTGCGACCACACTTACTGCTCAATAAATTCGTGGAGGCTGACGTGGCTGCTCTTCTCGACGCTCACTGGACCTGCACCACAATATCTTCTCAAAGCTGAAAACCAAAGTTGACCGGATATGGATCAGGTGGACGACGCGCCCGTATACGCCTTCGGGGCTGAAGTCATAAGTCTACCAACTGCCTTTGGCTAACCTGAACGTGTCAACAAGCCTCTTCGGTCCTTTTACCTTACTCCTCGCTGTTCTCATGATGAGTCTCTCAGGTCGACACGACACTCCCGGACAGCCCAACGATCCGATAGAGTCAGCAACAATACCGACCCCACCTGATATCGGCGACACGCGCCAAGCGAGTGTTTCGACTGAAAACGACGACGATCGCGAGTATGACGAAGTACAACTGTTGCAAGAGGATCCATTCCTGATCGCGGATTACCTCGCCCATAACTCCAGCAAATCTGCCGCCGTGTTCCGAAGATATGACAAGCTTGCCATTCACAGGCTCATTTCGCTAAGTAGAGAATTAAGAGGCTTTGAAACGCAACACGATCAGTCAGTGGATGATGGAATAGATCCAGAAGTTATGGATGGTGGTTACTACAGCAATGTGTTCGGACCTAAAGTCCTGGAGTATTGTACAATATTGCTCCTTATACACAAGATCAATGTAACATACTGACATGCGCTTTTAGATTCTCTTTTAGGCGCTTACAGTAACGTTCTGCATCTCGAGCCCCCCGCGAGCCGGACGGTCGAGGCACTCGATCGGTTCATCTCCAGCCCAGAACTTCACAGCAAAAAGCCCTGGCTTGGTCACCAGCTGAAGTACCGGACGGAGACAACAGACGATAGAATACCATTCTCTGATCTTGTTAGTCTCTACACTCCAGCTGAGAATGATTACCTATCGAGGTTTGTCGACAAATTCTTCTACGGTTTCTTCTTGGTATGTGGTTATCGTTTATAAACTCGTGTTCCTCCTACACAGCCTTAACAAACGCAGACCCCAGAATCAAGCCGCGACGCGAAGTACGTAAACGAACAGAAGATGCAGCGTTTCGTCACCTTCGTCGGCACCGTCATCTCGATCGGCTTTCTAGTAGCCGCAATGTGGGTCCTTTGGCGACTCGAAGACCACATGATACCCAAACTGGGTGCTGTGACTGGCTTCGTGGTGGCTTTCGCGGGCTGGTTAGGTTTCCTGACAACGGCGCAAAGGAAGGACGTCATAGCTGCTACGGCTGCGTATGCGGCCGTTCTGGTGGTGTTTGTTAGCCAGCAGAGTCCTGTCAGCGTAGTGACGCAAGGTACTGGCACTGTGGTGACGCAGAGTAGATGAGTAATTTGGAGTTTTTGCGATCCACACCGAAAGAAAACGTATGCCTGAATGGAAGGATCGAGGAACATGATTTCCAAAGAGGCGCAGGCGACGTTTGTGAAGTTTCCCACACGTACATTTTTCGAGCTCACATTTCTATTGGGTATCAGTAATGGAATACAGTTCTGAAAAGGATCGCCTCAATGCATACAGCCTTGATGGCAATACTGCTCATTCACCGCCCCTCTCCCTCAACCCTAACATTCGAGAATGCAACCGCTGGCCCCTCGCCAGCAAGTTTCTCAGCCATACTAACAATGACCTCGTCAGACCAACGAAATGCGTCGACCTGATGGTAATCCAGAAGGGAATTTAAGCTCCTCACTATCCACGCCTGGATTTCCGGTGTGCAAAACTCATATGCAACGACAAAGCTCAAGCCAGTGTGGAACGCGCCGATCGGTCTGCTGGCCCATGCGTCCTCCCAAGTTTTGCAGATCTCGACGGCGGCGCAGCGGCATTCGGATTGGAGTCGATAGCGCGCATGGTCGAAGGGTGGGAGAAGGCGCATTAAAACTTTGTTCGTTAAGATGATAACGGACCAGAAGCAGTTGTAGGCGGTCATGTCGCGCCAGTTGTTGAAGTGGTAGGTCGTTTGTATGGGATTGCTTTTTTCTCTAGCCGGTGTCTCGGAGACGGCGATGCCGTTTGTGAGCTTTGTGTTCATGTGTTCGCCTAGATTTCGGAGTGCGTTTTTGAGCTCATACACTTTGTATAGAAGTGCTGTCCGTACAGATTCGTACTGAGATGTGTATGGGTTTGCTCTGATTGGATTTGATGTTTTGACCGGTCGTATGTCTTCTAGAAAGTCGATATCGTCGAATGAGTCGGTGGAGAAGTCGAGTGATGGGGGCGTGTCGATCAACGGTTTATACAGTTCGCCGTTGGAGCTGAACTCAAAGCTCGTAGTGTGGGGCGGTTGCAGGACGCAGGTTTCGTCCAACTCTTTCAGTGTATTGAAGATACCGGGCAACTCGGCCATATATTGCATCAAGTCTGTGTTGAGGCAGTCATCGAAACCGAGTCCGGTCTTGTCGAAAGCGATATCTCGCCATTCAGGCGATGCCAGAAAGCATGGCTTTCGTTCGTATATGCATGTGATAATCTGTCAACGTATTAGTCTTGACTTGGCTTTCCCGTGTATGTCTGAGTTAATAGATACGACCACATCATCGAGACTTCGTTCGACTTACTATCCCGCCTCTATTGAAGCGCAGCATCTCTTTCGTGAAACTGTCCGTGTATCTAGAAGGCCCTTGTAATTCCATTAATCGACCGGCGCCGCCCACGTGCGTCAAGTATCGGTTGCCTGTTCTTGGACCTGCGAAAGCCTGGGCATGTAAGTACGGGTGCAAGCTCAACCGACAAGACTTACTTCTACAAGACCAAGAAGTATCGATGCGCAGAGAGTATTGGGCGACATGCCCAATTGCTGGCTTTCGAGGCATCCCTGGAGCGTTTTGATAGCCCGGATATAAAGCTCTGGCGAAACGATCTCGTCTGCAGTCTTCTTATATACCAGCGAAGTATGGACATTCACCAGTACTGTCACTGCCGCATCAAGGGCAGCATTGTGTCCGATCCTAGCTGGTACTTCTTGGATAAACCGACCAAACACCGACATGCGATGCCCGGTACTGCCTGTTGTGGTGGCTGCGATTAAGGAGCGTGCGAGTTGTTGATGCTGTGATGGCGACGGTTGTCTCAGAAAAGGCGATTTAGGTGGAGATAAGCTGATCGAACTTGATCGTGGAGACCGCTTCCGCGGCGTTGAATTCTTGTTCGATATCCTGAATTTGTGGGTGACGGACCCATTGTCGGCAAACTTCTCATTCAATTGCGTTAATTGTCTGTCCGGATCTGTAACCAAATCAGTATCATGGTCGTGTACACCGAAAACGAGCTTACCTGGTGATGCAGTTTCTTCTACAGAGGAGTGTGTGGCGCCTCCACTCAGCCTATGCCCGAGATCTCTGAACGTGTGTCGCGCGGGAGCTCCTGGACATTGCTTTCCATTCTTCTGGCAGTTTAAACAGGTCGGCCAACTTTCGTCTTGATCGTCACTAGTCAGAATGGTTGAGTCGGGGCGTTCTGGTGGAGCTAGCCTTACCGCACTCTGTCCTTAGTCAGGCGTTATCCGCAAGGAAGAGGGCCACAGACGACTTACTAATCTTCCTCTTGCGGCAGATGAGGCACCCAGTGCTTTTCGGAACACCAACCATACTTCCACAATAATGCACCTTCCAAGGATGAACAACAAGCGAAAAGAATGACGCAAAGATAAGACGTAGAAATCAACAGGATTTTGAGAAGCTTGAGCTGAGACCTTTGCTGTCAACGCACGTCGGTGGCCATATGGCTGCCGAACGATGCTGTGTATGATGTATGCAAACTGCCTGCCTCCGTTAGGCGTCTCGGGGGAGTTCCATACCGTGGCTGCAGGCGAGGCTTAGGTCCACAGGGGTTATTGTTCGGCACCCTGATCTGGCGGTGGACTGATGGCTGAAGAAGACGCTCGTCACCCCACGTGTTCGCGACATGGAACCTGATCAGGCTAGATGGGATGGAAGGTGGAGATGATTGGTCAGACTTTATATGAATTTGGGACGCGCCGCAGACAGTTGTATTGTGAGTCTGCTCTGAGTGGTCTCAATCGTGCCCGCCGAGTGTGTTACACATGTCGTCAGACCGCGTATGCGTCGTGTGTAGAGTAGGATGGAAAGGCAGACTGGACTGCAAGAGCGATAGGGAATGCCAAGCCGCTAGAACCGAAACAGACCCCTCCCACGCCAGAAGCCTCGAACACTCGAAGAAGCGTCAATGTTTCTCATATCTGGCCAGTGAACTGAGACTGTGGCTTTCGGTATGCTTACCGTTCCTACTTCATGTTACTTTACTACATGCAGTGTCGACTGCAAGTGATGCCGGTCTGGCTGCTTCACCGTCCATCCAAGCATCTTCTCTAATATGCAGTAGTAGGTAGCCCTCCAAGCGATTACTACTCAACCATCCGCGCGTCTTGCCTTGACTTGAAAGATGTGAAGCCTCACTCCCATACACTGACCACAAACCCCACAATTTCCCGAGATCCCTCCGAACAAATCGAAGTCCACAAACCCCACGAGCCTCGACTACAAGCAAGCTTGGCCATCCCTCTTACCTTATCAGTCATCGACCTCACTAGCCATACGAAACGCCAGCAAAGTAAGCTCTAGTATCCACTGCGCCCTACGCGAGAAATCGGCACACACAAACTCTCGGCACCCGCCCTCGGCATCTCGGTGACCCAACTAGGTAGTCAGACCTCAGGGTACACCGTAACCGTCAAAGTAAGGCGTGCCGATGCGCATCTACGGAGCCAAGTGATGCCTCAGCAGCTTGCAGTGCAGTTACGTACGTCTTGTCAGAACTATTGACCGTTCATGATATGTGTCTTGTGATTCCGTGTGGTATATACCCAGCATGCCCCCTGATGAAAATGCCTTCCATGCAATGAAATGGGGTATCGCATAGGAGATAAAAAGGCCGAAGCCAAAATCCAGTCAAATCAACGCATTTCAACCCACTTTTCCCACTCTCATCATCCCCATACCCATCTTCCATCTTCTGCCAGACCAACCAAAGGGATAACACCAGAGCCGGAACAGTCATCTCGAGGATAAAACAGTTCGTGCGCCACCCATCCCTTCTGATGGCGCTACCCGACGTACTCAAGTGGCTGTTTCTCATTCCTCCATGTCCTCCTCGTCCTCATCCTCACTCTCCACCTTCTTCTTAGTAGCGCGCTTCTTCTTAGGCTTCGCGTCCTTGATGGCCTTGCGCTGAACTTGATCACCGACGCGTTCGCGTTCAGCAGTGCCTTCGGCTAGAAGCTTTGCTTCCAACTGCTTGAACTCATCGGAGGTGTTGTCCATGCCGACGAGGCTCTCGAGCATCTTGATCTCGCGCGCCCAGATACCCTTGTCTTCGACCTTCTTGCCGTTGGCGTCAACGCTGTCGACGGGGGTCTCGAGGACCATGGGGAGACCGTGGAAGCGCTCGTCGTTCATGAGGTTGTGGAAGGCTTGGAGGCCGAGATAGCCGGTGCCGATGCGGGCGTGGAGGTCGCGGAAGCTGGATAGGGGGGCCTTGCTGTCGTTGACGTGGAAGGCTTTGAGGTATTCTAGCCCGATCTCCTGGTCGAACTTGTCCATGGTTGTGGCGTAGGCTTCAGGGGAACGGAGATCGTAGCCGGCGGCGAAGACGTGGCAGGTGTCTAGGCAAACACCGACACGGCTCTTGTCCTTGATGAGGTTGATGATGGCGGCAATGTCAGCGAATGTTCCTCCGATGGTGTTGCCGAGAGTTGCCATTGTCTCAAGTACAGTGACAACGCTACCAGTCGCCGGATCTGCATGTGCTCGGTTGAGGTTCTCGGCAATGATGCGAATTCCCTCCTCGCGAGTGGTGGCATTGGCATTTCCAGGATGAAAGTTGTAGTAACGGATGCCAAGCGCATGGCAGCGTGTCAAGTCGTTGAAGAAAGAGTCGTAGGCCTGCTTCTTGCGAGCGGGATCGGGGTGAGCAAGGTTGACTAGGTAGGAACCGTGGGGTAGACAGCACTCCGCAGCGTTGATACCATGGTCCTTGCAGCCCTGAATGAAAAGTGCAGCATGTTCTGGATCCATCTCGATGGTTTCCCATTTACGCTGATTCTTCAGAAACAGAGCGAAGGCGTTGGCACTGTGGATGTTAGCGATGGCTTAAAATGGTGGGTGTGGAAGATGCAAAACATACCCGATATATACAAGGTTGATGATGGAGTTGTGTACGCCTAAACGATTGTTTTCGAGTCCATGTTAGCCAGTGGTCTTCGCGAATGGGAGATGAGAGTGTGATATGGACTAACCTCCGGCGGAGCTGACATGGGCGCCAATCAGATGCTTTGAGTCTTTGGTGCGGTCGGCAAGTGGAGGCAGTATCTTTGCAGTACCGCCCTTGCCCTTTGCCCTAGGCTTGGGCTTGGGTTTGGGCTTGTCTTCATGGTCGCTGTCTTCGTTCTTGGCCTTGCTCTTCTTGCCTCGTGTAGTCTTCTTGATAGAGGTCTTGGTCGCGATCTTGTCATCTCCATCTGCGTCAACCTCTATCTCTTGATCGACTTCGGCTTCAATCGAGTCGTCCTCCGCTACGGCCTTCTTCGTAGTAGCGGTCTTCTTGTTACGTCTCAAACCGGCTTTCTTAGACTTGCCCTCGCCATCACCGCTCTCTTGTGCCATGACTTCATCTTCCACCTCTTCTGTGACCTTCATCTTCTTGGTAGCGCGACGCTTGGGTCGAGGCGACTCATCGACGGCATCAACAGCATCTTCGACGTCGATTTGTTGTGCTCTGGTCCTCCTTGTACGGGGTGTTGCCTCGGCCTTCCGCTTCTTGCCGTTCGCTACTGGTTGGGTGACGGTAGCGGCTTCGGTGGCTGACATGAGGTTGTCAGGAGCAGGTGAAAGGGACGAGTCTGAGGGCGCGTTAGAGATCTTCCTGGCCATGATTCTTGTAGCCAAAGGTCTATGAGTGTCTATCAAAGAGGTTCCTAGGCCTTCTGACGCTCCTGTGGTACTAAGGAGTGAGGTGTAGGAGCGATGGAGGTCGAAGGCTGAAAAGCTACTTTTGTAGACGGCAAACGGGCGGGAGCGATCGAGGTAAAGGTGAGAGAGCGCGATTAGGGTGCTACTCCTGATAGCATGTCGAGGTGACTGGAGATTCGATACAGGCCGCGATAGGGAGCGCGTTTGCAAGTGTACAGCACGGCAATTAGGGGCACGTGGTATGAAGTGAGTGTAATTGCGATGCTGATAGTGACTGCAATTGCTGGGGTTGCTGAGGAAAGAGCGCGTCGGCAAGGATGGGTATTTCAGGAGGGAACGACTGTGTGTGGCGACTTTGAAAGAGTGACAACGCGATGAAAACACAAGGCTTGATGCTGGGTTCGCGATACTATTTCGCATACGAGAATGGTAGGGTTTGCTCAAGGACTGCGAGAATGCGTTGAAAGTCGCATCAACGTCATGGATCAGGGCAAAGTCGCGACCACGCTAGTCGCGCGCTCACATGTCTTAACCCCGCGGTAAATCCGATCTGCAACACCAAAAATTATCGTCGCCAGATCCAACAGCCCACGCCAACCGATCGCAAGTTCGGCCAGTACCCACAACCGCCAAGCTTACCCGCTCAAGCTCGTCGCAGCACTACTCAGATCTCGCGCGATCTCTCTCCGTCAACGAAAACCCTACTCAACCGCATCAAACCTCCCCAGCAACCACCCACCATGCCGAAAGCAAAGCAAAAGCGCAGCAAAGGCGCCGACAAAGATGCCTCCCCCTACGCCCGCCCGGGCGCCACCTCCGCAAAAGCCTCCGCCGCACACTCAATCTTCAAGATGGACAAAGACCTCGGCCAGCATATCCTGAAAAACCCCGGCGTCGCAACCGCCATCGTCCAAAAAGCACACTTGAAGCAATCCGACCACGTTCTCGAAGTGGGTCCGGGAACAGGAAACTTGACAGTCCTGATACTGAAAGCCGCCAAACAAGTAACAGCCGTAGAAATGGACCCCCGAATGGCCGCTGAATTGACAAAACGAGTCCAAGG